AAAATGTAGTCTAATTTTAATATGCCCTTTTGCTGTGCAATAATAGAAGTTTTGATAGATCCATAAAACAATGATTGAGAAGTCAAAATACATTCCTGTGATCAAAGCCACATTTGGAAATACAGGGATTTTTTTCCCCCCCCCCCCCCCAATATTTCCCAATCTATTTTTTTTGTAATCCAACCCCCAAAATACTCCATCACTTTTTTTGGGGGGGGGGGTGCCTTCAAGTCATTCTTGACTCCTGGTGACTGCATGGATAAGTCCCCGAAGTTTTCTTGGCATGGTTTTTTTGGAAATGGTTTGCCATTGTGTCCTTCCTAGGGCTGAGAGAGAGTGACTGGCCCAAGATCACCCAGCCAGCTTTGTGCCTAAGGCAGGACCAGAACTCACAGTCTCTCGATTTTTAGCCTGATGCCTTAACCACTACACCAAACTGGCTCTCACCACCTTTACTATCTTGTTATACCTTATATATTGAAGAAAAAAAAAATCCTTATCACTTTCTTGATATTGATTTTAAAAGAAATCTATTATTCTAGTTCTCCAGGATATTTACTGTAGTGCAATGGTTTGCCCTACAAAAGGTGAAGAATGTTCATTACAATTCATTTTTTTAGTCTGAAAATATTTTTCACCATAAAAATTATTGCAAACTGGGCAATAATTATTTCAAGCAGGGATGGATAACTTGAGTTTGCCAGATGCTTACAGACTCTTATCAGCACCAGTAGTATAGCCAGTGGTCTGAAATGATGTGAATTCTAATCCAAACCACATCTTCAAGTTGTCAAGGTTGAGAAACACTGCTATGGAGAATGGGCCTTCTGTTACTAAGCTGCATGGAAACAACTTACTGAAAAACTTCCTGGCAAATGATAATCTCTAATTAGACATCCTTGTTTTTCAGAACATTTTATGCTGGCCTACAAAGTTACAGGAGGATGATTACTGAACAGCTGAAGTTTGGTTATTAATAGCTAGGGCACTATTGTAATTCAATGTATTATTTATTGAGCAGAATGCAGCTGCTTCACAGTTAAGTGCACAGCACTGCAATTTTTTAGGTAGCACATTTCAATAAGAAACTATGATTTGGAATAAAGACAAAAACATTTAGATATACTGGAAAAATAAAAAGGAAGGATGTAGTGCTGTTTTTATTTAAATGCAAATCTTTTGCTTATGGTGTTCCTAGGCCAGTCTTCTATTTTTAGACACAGAATATATTAGTCCTCTATCCTTCTGAGTAAGTACTTAATAATAATTATATATAACAAAATTTTGGACTGAATAATATTGCTTTGCATTCAGTAGTTTTTAATGTTTTATTTTTAAATGTGGAATTTATGTTGCAGTTGAAATATGTGATACTGATCTACAAAATTTAAAAGGATGTGCCAAAGAATAATTGCAATTCTCTAAAACTAAAAGCTCCTGAATTATTTTATACTTATATTAAAAAATAGAAAACACTTATAAAATAAATATTCAGCAGCAATTATTTTATTTAAAATCATAAGTGCACTAATTACATAATTTCTAGTCCATTAATATTTGACCTAATCTTATTTCTTTTGAAGTTTTATTCTCTTAAAACACGATTTATGAAGATATGTGACTGATGCTAAGAGGCTTTTTAATCAAATTCTTTGTACTTTCAATTAGTTTGATCATTAAGAAAATTATTTCAATCATACTTCCTAATGCAGAAATTTATGTAAATCTTTTTGCCTGTTCAGTGCTGAATATAAACACATTTCTCACTATAAACATTTATCAGGAAGAAAGGCAATAGCTTTGATCTATATCCAGAATGCGAAATTTGCTAGCAAGAAGGGGACTGGATCCAGACATATATTTAGAACAGACCAATGAAATCAATAGAATCCGTTAGTCATATTCCAGCAAATTGAATAGAAGGTCCCTTCAGATTTCCCCGTTCACATGGGAAGTTAGGGAAAGAGAGGGCAAGTAACCTCTATTACTTGTTGACCTTGTTCAGACATAACACCTGAGCAGCAGTCTCAGAAGAATATTTATGTATGGGGAGAAATATGAAATTAAGACTAGGGGAAATGAAAGCTGAACTGACCTGTCAAGAACAGATCAGGGAGAACCAAACTACAACTTGGAATGCAGAACATATGGTTGTCCTTTGGATTAGGAAATGATAAGAATAAAACACACTGAAGAATGTATGGTTTATTTATGCTATTTTACAGTAGCAATACATCACAATAATAAGTAGCTTGCCACATACTCATTACAGACAGGTTTGGGTTTGTTTTGTTTGCTGATCATTAGTAAGTTATTCTCTAAACTAAACAATCAAAACTCTTCATGTAATTTCTTCTGTTAAAGCCATAAGGAAACACCATTCTGTCATCTTACATTGGCTTCTGTTCTGAAGGCCTGCAACTTGCCCTAATGTATGACTATGAGAACTGGGCTGTAAAACTTGCTATATCTCCTTGCTGCCATCCAGGGGTTGTCCAGATTTTTGCAGCCCAGATTTTATAATTCTGCTGTATGGAAAAACGTTCTAAACAAATTCAAGACTCGAAGATGCGAAAGTGTTGTTTTGCTCTAATCACCACAGGATGGGATAATGATTTACTTGTGTTCAGACACTCTTGCTGTTTTTACTCCATCTCTTTCGGTTGTTGGCCATTTCATTGCCTTCAGCTCTCTACCTTTGCTTCAGATCCAAACCAATCAGTTGATCAACAGTCTGCCAGGAATGGCAAACTATCACATTGGGCTGTTTCCTTTATACAACAGGACTCCAGAGATGACTGAAAGTTAACCTCAGTATAGGCTCCCAGGTTTTAACGACTGAAGAGCTGCCTTTCCTGTTCAGTGGCCACGGTTAGAAATCACTTTATTTGTAATACCAGGAAACCAGGCTTTATGTTCAGAGCTGACCAGTGGTGAAAAATCAATTGACTGATCGACACACGTGATCTATGTCAAAAAACCACCAGGGTTGCATGACATTTAATAGTTTATTCCGCAGAGACCAGTGTGATAGATGGAGATTCAGCTTTGGCTTTGTTCCCTAAAAAAGATTATTCAGAAATATATCTTACTGTGTCTAATTACCTTTTCTAAGTAGGCTGGGCTGCAGTCTGGGTCTCGGACTGAACTCACTGGGAAGCAAATATGCGTGTTTAGTTGCATGAAAAAACATCTCACGAAAGCAAGTCACCGTACTTCCGTCACTAGGAAAGCAACACCTTTAGATTTTGCCAGTACCTTATTAGCCTTTCGGAGTCTCAAGGGAATCTACCTCATAGACAACCTCGAGCTCAGAATATTCTTCAGTCGTCTGTAAATTCAGCCTAGGAATGTTCCTCCCCACACTAGACAGCACTTTTAGAGCTAACGATTTAAGTTTTAAATTTAATGACTTTAATAAATAAGCTTTAGAGCTAATTATTTAAAATCCTGTCAAGGGTCAGCATTCACGCCAGCAGTCTTCTCGAACCTGCAGCACAGCAAGGGAAAAGCCCCAGCTCAGAGAACGCCGCCACACAACAAAGGAGTAATGGAGCCAGGCAGGCGGCAGCGCTCTTCCCGCCTCTGTCTCTCCTTAGAACGCAACCATTGGCTGGCGATGACATCACCGTTGGAATGCCAAGACCACGACCGCCCCAGCCCAAGCGAGCGCAAGCCGGAAGTTGCGAGCGACGCCCTCAGCGACCGATTTAGAAACGCAGACCCGGAAGTTCGGGAGGGGAAGCGACCGCGATGATGGCTGCGGAGAGTTACCCGAGGTCGTCCATTGAGGACGATTTCAATTATGGCACTAACGTCGCGTCGGCTAGCGTACACATCCGCATGGGTAAAGAGTCCCCGTCAGCCCCCTCTCGGCCCCCTCGCCTCTCCAATTTACATCCCGAAGTCGTCACCTTCGCCTCTCCCCGATGGAGCCTCCTCTTCTCCCGTTTAGCTTCCTTCCCTCGGCCTTCGGGGACGAAGCTATTCTTGTTTGTAAACAGAAAGAAGTCTGTGTCTCTGGTTCACTCCAGGCTAAATTGCCTGTTAGGCTTTGGGGCCCCGCGGAGATGGGGGGGCGGGCATTTTTTCGAGCGGGAAGGTGTCCCCTGCGAGTCCTCCCCGCCACTGCGCAAAAGTGGCGGTGCTCGTCGGAAACCGTGGAATCACGGGTCTTGCCATGTCAGTGAAGTGGCCTTCCGCCCAAGTGGGAATGCAAACCCAGAACATCAAGGCGTGGGGTGGGGTGGGGGTGAGGGTGGGGGACTTGTCTTGAGTTTTGATAGTTTTTTCTGATGGTACTTTCTATCAGAAAAATGGTCCAATATTTTTGCATCCACATTCCAGATAGTCCCAGTGTTACAGATGAAATATGGCCATTCTTTAGGAGGGTAATTTGGCAAAGGTAGTAGAACAAATTACAGAACGATCTACAGTGAATATGTTGCCTCAGGGAGAGAGTATGTGGTCTGGTCAACTCTGCAGGACTTTTAAATCCATTTTTAATAGGGCAGTACTGGAGACCTGCACCATCTTGCATCAAGAATTCTACATTCATATGAAACATGGTTCTATGTGTGGGAGTCTTGGCCTACTCACATACCACAATACATTCGTTTTTGGATGCTAATCAACTGTAGTGTCATAGTAATATGACTGTCCTCTGATGATCCAGTTTCTATTGCAATGGATACCATTAAAAATCTTCAGATTGTTTTTATTTCATTACTTCATTCAATGTATGTATATTTGATTTCAGCATAAGTCTTGAAAATAAATTAAGCAATAATGAACTGTGCTTGTTTTCTATATCATAGCTTTTCTGCGCAAAGTCTACAGCATACTTTCAGTCCAGATTCTTTTGACAACTGTGACCTCTGCAGTTTTTCTCTACTCCACCACAATTCGGACATTTGTACATGAAAGGTAGGATCTATAGTGAATCTGGTTGAATTTGCTTCATTTTTGAATGCAAAGTAAATATGGATCCAGTGCCTTCTGAAATTTTATGATTCTGCAAGGTAGTCAAGGGCTGTGTTTCTCAACCTTGGCAACTTTAAGATGTGTGGACTTCAACTCTCAGAATTCCCCAGCCAGCATCTTGAAGTTGCCAAGGTTGAGAAACACTGGTCTAGGGAATTGTTTCAAGGAATAGCATGTTCACAGAGGTAGGAAAGAGAAGATACTGGTCCCACTTGAACAGAGTTACTGGGAACATTTGTTCATTTCTTCTTAAGAGCAATCTGCTTGAGAGAGAAAATATATAAAGGTTCCACTATTTGGGTGTGAGAAAACTTGCTTCTAAGCCCTGATACAGTAAGCCTTAGAAGCAAAAAGTGGGTTTTGCTCCTACCTTAGATAATAGCCCATTTATTTTCTTCCCTGCCAGTAAGTAGCTTCTTCCCCCTTCAGCTATGTCTCTCAATGAAGCCTATATAGTTAACTAATGTAACTCACCCAGAAATAGATTGCTATTGTGAATATGTCTTTTTTATTTAAGAGCAGAGGACTTCAAATATTAGAAATACTGATAACTTACCATAGATGTTGTAATTCAGTTTGACTAACAGAGATGTTTTATTCTTTCTAGACTTACTGAAGTATTTTAAATATTTGTAAGATTGTTTTATAGATTATCTTGTTTTGGAGTAGACAAAAGATATAGAAAGAGGATTGTTTCCTAATATTATGTTGTCTTACTAAAACTTACAGCCCTGCTTTACTTTTGGTGGCCTTGCTTGGTTCTTTGGTTGTGATTGTGGCTTTAACTCTGTACAGACATCAGTATCCAGTTAATTTATATCTTCTCTTTGGATTTGTAAGTATTTATATAATGCATGATTAGTCTCACTCTTTGATAGTTGCACTTGATCTAGTGAGATGAATGTATTCTATTGTATATTTCCAAATTTTACTCCCATAAGTATTTTTGTTTTACTTTTGTTCTTCTAGTAGCTCTTCTGTTAATGTAATTTTTAAAAAGGAAAAGCATTTTAGCAGACATCTGTGGAGCATATGCTGTCCCTTTGAAAATGATGTATACCCTGTTTCCTTCTGCTTAGCTTTTGAACGTGGATAGTGGAGTAAGTTTCCATACATCAGAAAAAAAAAATTAGCTTTCAGAGGCAAGCCTAGCTGATCTCTATTGTTCAGAAAACTGGTGGCTGATTTTACTAGTGCAAATAGAGGGGTGGTGACTTAATGATGTGAAAATACTTGCTTTCAAAGGTATGTTTATACTGGATGTGTTTTTTTATACTAGGGTTCTAAAACTTTGGCTGGGATCCACACCTCTTCATAGGTAGCAGCAGTCAACAATAGTAGTAGCATTGTCAACCACCAGGTGCTGTGGGACAATGCTGTGATCCAGCAACATATTTTTAGAGGGAATGATGGGAAGTTGTAGAAAGTAGAAGCTTAATATATCTGTTTTTCTGGTTAAAAAAGAACAAAAACTTGAACTTGCAAAATCACAGATTGCTGCGTATTCTGACAGTACATTCATTGGGGGCTTTGGGGTCACCAGCCTGGGGTTGGGAGCAGTATGTAGGCAGTAAACTCAGCTACCAATCCTTTTTTTTTTTAGGCAAAGAAAAGGGTAGATGAGGAAATCCCAATTCTCCTTAGTATAATACATATATTTTTCAGCTGATATACATGGAGCTCAATTTTAACATGTCTAATGAATACCTCTTTGGTATCAAATACAGCTCTTGTCTGCACAAATTTCTGTAAGTTGTTATTTGGATCAAATTAATTGAGTGATACTCTTTTCTTTGTTCCTCGTAGACTCTTTTAGAAGCACTGACTGTTGCTATTACAGGTAAGATTTATCCTATTTTATTGACAGCATCAGGCCTTTGGTAGCTGCCTGAACTGAAAGTGATATTTTTCCAAGCATGAATGAGAGTTCTCTTTAGCAATCTTTATTAAGATGAAAGCAGTAGTGAAACAAGAATTCCAACAAATGAACTATTTTCATTATTGAACCAATATATCTGCATATGTTTGTGCAGAGACCTTCTGAATTTTTTTCCTCACAGCCTCACTATGCACCAAAGGAAGTTTTCTGATAAAGGAGTAGGCTGCAGTTGTGAATTATTTATACAATGATTGCTTGAATCCTTATCATCTGAGATAAGGATGAAAGAAGCTCAATTTTACTATTTGTAATTGTCCATGATGTAATAACTGTTCCCCAAGGGGCTGACAAAATTACCCTTGCTGGTGGAGAATCTCTCTCTTAACCCAACAAATGCCAAGAAAGAAATGGGCAGGGTTATTTCAAAGTACCCACAGGCTGTTTCTGAAGACATCAGAGTCAGTACAGTGAAAAGGGAAATATCTTCCCAAGGTTTATTGCTTACAAGAAGTATCAGCTTTTTTACTGATACCCACAGCCACTGTATTACGGAACTCTGTATTGTCAGAAATAGGTCTATATTGGCTTGAAGGCTGCATGTACCTTGAAATGTTTGAATTATTTTTGTATAGCGATTCTGTCTAGAAATGAGGGAGATGAATAACGATGACCTTTCCACTCAGAGGCTAAGGAGAGAAGCCCTCCAGCCATTTTCCAAAGCAACTCAAGCCTTTTGCTTTAAGCTTATTTCTTTAAAATAAGAAAAACATATGACTAAATCCAGATTTAATTTCTATTAGTACTTTCTGGATAAAAAGAAACCAGTATTTAAAAGGAACAGATAGGTCTCTGTGTTGTTACATTGGGTCCCCCTCCCTCCTTTCTGCTATGAAGTATTAATAGAACAAAATCTGTATCTTAGAATGTATACAGCCCATCATTTGTCAAACTCTCTCAACCTGTGAACAGTTATAGTAGATTGTAGAATTACAGTGTGGTTTTATGTATGAAAAATATGAGCATAATATAAAAATATATTAGTTTAAGACAAGGTGATTATATCAAATATTCTCCACATTTGTTTTTCCCCCCCTTGCTAGTGACTTTCTATGAAGTATCTATTGTCCTGCAAGCCTTTATTCTGACAACTGCTGTGTTTTTGGCTCTAACTGTGTACACGTTGCAGTCCAAACGGGATTTCAGCAAAGTTGGAGCGGGGTAAGCTAATTTCTATTACACGCATGGGCATTTGGGCATTTCTAGAGTTAACCTGTCTCCCTGGAATAACAATCAGAGATGGTGGCTTCTTTTAAGATTTGCTGCAGGGTAGCTCAATATGTTGTGACTGCGGCAAGAGAACCAAGGCAGGGGGTTTGCAAGTGTGCTTTGTGAATAAGGGAAAGAGAAATGGCTGCTGATTATTTCAACATGTGATTTTGTACTTCATAATAATTTATAGGAAATATGTGTATCCCGCATTTTTAAAAACCTAAGTTAAAAGTATATTACAAACAAGTCAAATCTATCAATGTGCATTCACAGGCTGTTTACTTGTTTATGGATTCTTCTTCTGTCAAGCTTTTTAAAGGTAAGAGGTTATTCATTAGATAATTAAAATTTTGGAGGTCTCTATAGGATATTAACTATCTTAAATAGATGGAATTAAGATAGTATTAGAAGATAAACCCCATTTTAAAATCTTGGTTTTTTAAACTGATAATTGTGTTCTTCTTTATCAAGGCAAGTCCTATATATGCATTTGAGGATTGTGAGCATATAGCTTATTAATGAAAATTGGGGAGAAGTTGAAATTAGTTTTAAGAATTTTTAAATTAAGTAATATATGTATTATAAATACATACTGTTAAGATTAAATTTAAACTGGTTTTATGTTTTCAATTTTTTTGCTCAGTTGAGAGTTTCAACAAGTTACAGTCTCAAAAATAACATGTCCAGGGTACAAATAGTTTTACATAATAAACAATAATTATACTACAGAAAATCACAAGTCAACAAATCAAAAAGCAGTAAAATAGATACCAATATCTGTAACTCAAAGGCCTTCTATAGTTCTGTTTTTAATATTTTTCTGTTATTGGCTTAGATAGCTAAAATAAAGGAGCTTTTGCATTTTGAGGCTGGTCTATCCAGGCATGCAGAATGATGATCTGCAAACCTTTTCCTGGCTATGGTTTCTGCAGTTCAGCCATAAATTCATTAATCCTGACTCAGCTTGATAATCAAAGCAATTGTCAGCTGTGTAGGTGCCTACTTCCAATCACTGTGGCTGCTCCTAAGTCTGTGTCAAGGAATAGATCCTCTACCCACTTCCCTCAAGAAAGCTTCACTGAATACATACATAAAAATTATGCTGGAAATGACCGCAGCACATGGGAGATTGATTGTCATATTTGTGTACAAAGTAAAGTAGGAAAAACAATGTATGTTAATTTAAAGTAGGAAAAACAATGTATGTTTAAACAGATGGAGTGTATTTTGTCAGAGATAAAGGTGACACAAAATATATTAACAGATAAGTTATTATTTAATAAGAACATTATAAATCTGTGAAAGGAGAGCAGGAAAAGCTTTTAGATTTCCTCAGAATGCAAAATTCAGATGGTCTAATTGACTCAATTTTTGAAGAGTTCATTAACATGTCTTTCAGATTGACTACAGTGTTAGCAATACTGTAGTGACAAAACATACAATCCTTCCTTCAAAAGACTTGCAGCATTTAGAAAAGTAGTATTCTCAACTTTATTCATTCAAAATGTTGTCCCGTAAACTTTAAATTGAGAAGATGCAGTTGCATTGAAATTTAGAGATGTATATAATTTGAAGTAAAGTTAGGTCTGTTGCTTTAGGAACCACTGACAATCATAGGATATGACAAGATCTTATTTTGCTGGTAATAGGGGAAATCTTAAAGAATGACCTACAGTACTGTTCAAAAGTTTTAGGCAGGTGTGAAACAATGCTGTAAAGTAAGAATGCTTTCACACATATATATTG